ATCATGAACCCTATTTACCTCAACAATTTTATCTTTGAACTTTATCCACAATTATCCCAATTTCGTTCCTATTTAAGCTTTCTAAAATGTAATAACTTATAACCTTCCTCAATCTCCTAAAAACATTAATGAAAACACAAAAAATTAATATATACACACACACACACACTAAACACTTCAATCAAAATCTATAGAAAAATCATATGGTCTAAACATCACACTAAACTTGTATGTATAATAGAGGGAAAATGGTACATGACCGTACCCTTAAAATTGTCACACATGCTGCTTACAATACTTGCATTTAGATATTGTAAGAAAATATACTAATGCAATCAAAACATTTATGCGAGTGCAATATGAATCCAAAGCAAATCAATGCCCTATAATCAAAGGTGTCTCCTCTCTGAGATCGTTATAGTAATAATATACCATCATAAATACCAGAATCACTTAAAAAGCATACAATTTAGAAATAGTAGTAGTATAACACACTAATCCATTTATAAATAGTAATAGTATAATACACTAATCCATACAAAATAATACCATAGTTTATCTATTAAAAATAATAAATAAAGTTCATGAATTTCCAATTGATCCCCAATCTCCTCTTCTCACCTATTAGTGGTCGATGGCTGCAGCTGCAGGTTGAAGCAACTTGTAAGCATTTTGAGCTGAAGGCGATGCAATGATAGCATAGATGGGTAGGAAGGAAGAGATCAACAAGCAATGGCAGCTATGGGTAATGGGTGGTGCTGGGAATAGCAACGTCAGCACAATATGGTAGGCAGCCCACCGTAACATTTAAGAGAGCAGATAAGTTTGGGATATATGGCTAGATGCATGAACACCATGTGTCTATAGTCATGATTAACTCAACCATGTTTAGATCCTCAAATAACACTAATAACCAAGTCATACACCACTATGACCAGAAATATTATCACTGCAACCCAGTACTACTTCTGTGTTAGGTTTGTATAACTATTTCACTAGTTTAAAGTGGATCAAGCTAAAAATCCTTCTATATTTACATCTTTAATACTTCTATTAGTCTATAATAAGTGGAATTGCAGCAGAACAAAAATAAAAAATATGTACCATCCATAATCCAGAAAAAAAGATAGAACATCCACATACTACAATACAAAAATCTAAAAAAATAAAAATAAAAACCTTGAAAGCCAGAGGCTGCATGGAAATCTACCTGGAAGAGTGCTCATCTTAGGTGAAATACCTATTTGATGCTTTTAGTAATTATCTGCTCTGCATTTTTTGTTTTTTATGTGCAACGCAGGAAGCTTTTTAGTTTATACAGGTCAATCAATTAGATATGCGACTTTTCATCTATTTTAGCTATGAGCATGACCAAGGATGAGAAATTCGAGTTGATCCTTTCCTGGCTTGAAATCAACTTAAACATTAAATTCAAATTGATCCTGCTCAAAATCAGTTACCTTTTTGCCTTTTTAAAAGTTATTTTTATATTACATAACACAAATATTTATGCATCTATGCATGTATATAGGCATATGTATGTATGTATATGTCATCATCATTTTGGCTTTATGGATTCTAATGCCCCTTTTTCTTATGATTCAAAATTAATTTGTTACACATCTAATGGGTGCATTTCTACAGTTAATTGCATATTCCCACCTAACTCTATTTTCTATCACCTTATCTCTAATAGATGCACTTCTACCATCCATCTAATATAATCATCACACAATTTATTTTTTTTAATTTTGCCATAAATTTATATGATCAGTCTTATTTTTACTACACTCAACCTCACTATTAATGATTTTTTTACAGAACAACGCACTCAAATCCATGCAATTTGATGCCCTTAATGCAACGTTTTAAAATTTTCCTCTAAATCCCCAGTCCATGATGTTCTTTTTCACATAACCAATCAAAATATTTATCTATTTTAAATTGCTAGGCTTAACTCTAAAAGTTATATCCTTATCTACATCCTAATTCTTGACTAATAGGGCAAAGATACATCAACTTATCAAATTTGGAATAAATTATCTTTTAATAATATTGTTGTATAATTATTACTATCAAAGTTGCCGAAATTGCATATCATATATTTAGTCCTTATGACACTAATTCCTTTATTTTCTAAGCACTTCCACGATTGCTCTAACTTTTCACTCATTTCATCATGTCTCATCAATTAGAACTACATCATTTGTAAAAAGCACATGCCAAAGCATTTATTTTGAATATCATTCACGAGAATCTCCATATCCAATATTTAAAAATATAAGTAATGCTGATCCTTGATATAATCTTAAGTAATTGAAATCTTTGGTCACTCCAAAATAATTTCTAATGCTAGTCAATGCTCTATAACACAAGTATTTAATAAAACTTTGGCCCACATTTTTTTCTTAATACATACCAAACCAATTCTAAGAGTATTTGATTATATGCACTCCCAAGAACAATAGAAATCATTTGATAATCATTTACTTGTTATATAAATATTTTCATTAATTGTCTGGACACAAAACATTTTCACAATAGATCTTATAGGTTGAAAACAATTTAATTCTCTAATATCAATATTATTTTCTAAGCCTGAGTTCAATTACTCTCTCTTACAATTTTTTAGTATGCCTCATAGGTTTGATCATCTATAATTATACAAAATTTGAAAATCTCAATTATTTTTAAATGCTGATATCAAAATACTCCATCTACAATCATTTAATATCCTTATAAGTCTTCAATGTTTCATCAAAAAAGATTTCTTAGCCATGCTATTAAAAAATCAAGCATAACTCCCCAAACCTAAATAGATATCTCATTTGGACCGAAACACGTACCTTTCACGTATTCTCATGGTTAGCTCAATTTCACTTTTTTGATTAATCTACAATATACCTCATTATGTACAATGCTTTATATTTGAAGCACCAAGCCATAACAAATTCAAATATGATCAAACATCAAACTAACCCATAACACAAGGTTTGGGCCTACTCTACTTGAATCAAGCTCGATTCAAGCAAAAATAATCTTTGAATCTTCAAGCTATTTTCAACTTTGAGCTACATTCTCAACCAGCCAAGCAAACAGCCTACTTACTATTGCTACAGCAGCACTTTTTTTTTTTTTTTTCAAAATCACGCTCATGCTTTCTAGGGAGATGTCGATGTAGTTGCCCTTCCCTCGCCTGTTTGCTTTAGGCATGTAGATTCGCTCTGTACATTTGCATCTCCTTCTTGCATGTGTGATGTACTGCCTTTCTGTAATATCCAACATTTTTTTTTGGTGGATCTTTGGCACCAAATGCCTCATGGCGTGAGTGTCCCATGCTTGGATGGTGTTCAAGACTTGTAAACCTTCAGTGGCTGAATCCCCTTGAAGCAAGTGAACTTTTACTATACTTTGCGCACTCCTTGTCAAGATAGATCACTTCCTTTAACTCCATATCAAGCAAAGGACGCTTTTTTGTTTTTCCTATCAGATGTACCATTTGCTCTTGCATCTAGGGTTTTAATAGGTAATCCCATCGCTGCAACACCACCTATCCCTTCCAGCCAAGCATCTCTGGATGGCAAAGTGGTTGATGCTAGTCTCCTTTATTGCCCATTCGGAATCTCTTTAGATGTCTATGTTCATCTGGTAATTGTTGTTGCTCTTTCAACTACTATTTTTTTCACAAATGTTGCTCAAAATTCTTCAAAGTCTTACTCTCACAAAGAAAATTAGCCCCAATTTATAGGAGAAATAAGAGGGAATAGTATTTAATAGATCACATAAATTTGCCCCCAAAATAGCCACTAAAATCCACCAAAACAGCCCACATTTAAAGCCTCCTGCACATGAATCTGCAAAGAGGAAACTAAACAGCCACATAAGAGAAAACGAGCAGTCACAGAAGGGAAACAAGCAACCAACAATTGGAAAACAATAGGACAACAGCATGGGGAAAAACAACTAGCATAGGAAAGGCCAACAACACTTATTTACCGCCTTAATTCATAGTTATAAGTATTTACCGCCTTAATTCACATATATCAAGGTCGTTATGTGATTTGCAATCGCAACCTGCTCCCCTCGCCGTAATAATTATCTTCACTGTGAGTCTCTCTATCTCTATCTCTCCCCTTTCTTCTCTCTTCTCCTTAAACCTCTCGTCGCATCGAGATCTATAGTCACACAACCCATGAAGATTGTCAAGGCTCTAGCGCTTGCCACCTTAGCCCTCTCTCATGAGGTTGTGAAGCAGTGAGCCTCCCTTCCTCCGTCTCTCTCTTTTCTTATCTCTTTGATTTAGCATTAGCCTACTCCCCTATGTTTGCAGAATTGCAATCATGAGACTCAGCACCTGCTTAGAAAGTCACATTCGAACTGAGACAGAGATCGTCGCCGCCGACTGCAGCCTTAGCCATCTCCCATGAACAATTAAGTTGTAAGTCTCTTTTCTTCTCTTTGCCATCTGGCTTTGTTAAATTAGTTAAGTCCAAAATAATGTTAAATCAAATTAATTCTAGTAAGTAGTAAAGTGAAACAATGCTAAATCAAATTGATACTAGTAATAAGTGAATTTAAAAATAGTGTCAGTTTCATTGAATAACGCTGGTAAACAGGCCAAAAAGAAAATGTTCTACGTTGTTTAAATACAAAAGTTGTGCTGCCATCTAGTTTTGTTTAAAATTGTATCATAATGATACGATTTTTAATCAGTAAAACAATACAATAATGAAACAAATTTTAAAAGAATTGATGTATTATATTAACGGAATGATAAGTACCGCATATTGATAGATGAAATGTGAATTTTCATGCAAGGCATAAAAATATTTAGGTTAGAAACTTATTTAAAAAAAAATAAAAAATATTAATAAAATTAAAATGAAACAATATTAAAATGAGGTTAGAAAGATGACGGTCGGTGCTTACCTGCCTCTAATTTATTCCAACCAATATTCAGCTATAAAAAAATCAAGCAAGGAAAAAATTGGGAATCTCACCCATAACCAGAAGAATCTTAGGGTTAGAATAGTGAGAGTTCTGCTGGAGTAGTTTTCTGTTTCGGCATCCGAGATGATGCGATAGACCAGACGAAATAAAGTTTGAATACCGGGGATGAAACACATATCGGTATCTGGTCGGCCAGCGGTTCCGTCAACTGTGCTATTGTTCTCCGCTGCATGCAGCGACAAAGGTGAAGAAGAGAATAAGCAGAGGGACGTGGCATGGCCTTACTCGATATCTCCCATTAGGGTTTCGGGTTTCCGGCCCTTTCCGCGGAGGGCGGTGGCGGTCTCTTAATTGCGCCGAAACGCTCCACCCCGCACAAGCGGCCTTTTCCATCTTCCTGCCGCGAAACCGTCAACACAACCCCCAAGAGCAAGTTTTGGCGAGTCATACGCTCTTAAATTTTGCCTAAAGTCCACGTCACAATCCCGCATTAATTTGTACAGCTGTGCCTCGGCATCCACAATAAAGCAAAGGAGAAACGATCCGTCCAGAATCTGCAGCAAAGGAGAAACGATCCGTCCACTCGATGAATTTATATGTTGTGAGATTTTTAGGCTTCTTTGGGAGGCTTTTTTTATTGTTTTTTAAAACAAAATTTTAATAAAAAATAAAAAAAATTTGTACTAAAATTTTGTTTTAAAAACAATAAAAAAATCATCCCAAACGAAACCTTAATCTTCAGAAAATTTTTTAAAACCAAAGAAACTTATAACATTTAACACATTTAACCCTTTAAGGTTTTTGGTGTAATTGTAAATTATGAGGTTTTTAACCTTCTAAAATTATTGTTGAATGAAATAAATATGTATCTTATGAGACTTCTGACTTTTTAAAATTTTTGATGTAAAAGTATCTTATAAGGTTTATATTTTATAAGATTTTTTGATGTACTTGTATCTTTAAGACATATGCCTTATGAGATTTTTAGATTAGTGGAGATTTAGATAACCATATACTCTTATGGGGTATCTTTAGTGAGGATCATGTCAACTGCTATGGCCATGCCTTCTGCTAATTTTTATTAAATACAATATTGTTTATTAAAAGATGACTTATTGATAATTTGAAGAGATATTTACTTGGAAGATGCATCTTTATCTTTAATAGAAGTCAAGATGTAAATTCTTTTTTAAAAAAAATAATTATTTTTGCTTCTGTGATAGAATCTTCTAGTGTAATAGCACATCTATTTAATAATTTTGATAATTTTATTACCATGACTCTTCTTATCTCATTTATTTTGAGGTCGATAATATGTAAGTTATTCTCATAAATAATAACTTAAATGTCTTTGGTGAATTAAATGTTCAATCTTTTTCTTACATTAAAAATATCTTTTTGTTGAATGCTCTCTTGAAGAGTACAACAACAACAACATCAAGCCTTTATCCCACTACGTGGGGTCGGCTACATAAATCATTTTTCTCCATTGTGTTTAATCAATAAGGAGTAGAAAGATTCAATATGAAGAACTCCAAATGCACCTGTTAGTAACTCTAAATCCACTTCCAATGATTGAAATGTTTCAAAAGAGAACATTTAAAAGTATTCATTAAGAGTGTCTTCTCATTTTGGTGAATTTCAAAAAATGAAAGGAATATTTGATGATTCTTTAATTGGTGATGAAGTATTTGACAAAAAGGTTTGGCTATATATATATATATATATAAAGAATGATTCTTTTAGGGAGAATAAAATCATGTTTGCGCTCGTCTTTTAAGAGTTGCTAGAAGACCTTACAGAGAACTGTATTAGAAGCTTGTTAAATGTATAAAATGATCATATAATAGTAATGGACTCATAAGGGTTAGAAATTCAATCACACAAATCAATCATATACAACTTAAACCCTACTGAAATATCATGTTGAAGAATTACATAATTTAAAAGTTAAACTATTGAAAGTTATAATAAGAGATAATTTAAATCCTTTCTCTCAAAGAAAATTTATCACGAACAAAGAGTTATAGCTCATATCTTATAACATCATCCAGGCTATCAATAAGGTGATGTTGATTTAAATCCTGTATGAATGGTAGAGGATTATGGATAGGCTATGCAATAGGACGAGTGTCTTTACTCTTAGCGATAAGATACGAAATGAGCATATTTGTGAAAAGATTGGAGTAGCTCTAATGGAAGATAATATTAGAGAGAGTCGCCTTAGATGGTTTGGTCACAGAAAACGGCAGCCTTCCGATGACCTGATTAGGAAAATAGATGTATTAAATATGACATAAGTCAAGAAAGGTAGATACAGACCTAAAAAGACTTGATTAGAGAATATTAGAAATGATATTTCCTTATTAGATTTAAACGAGAATTTGACTTTTAAGTTTTAACCAAACACAATGGAGAAAAAAGTTCATCTCCTAAGCATTTCCACACCTCTATTGGAATATCATCAGGTCCAACAGCTTTTCCACCCTTCATTTTCTTTAAAGCATCTCTAACTTCAGTTTTACTAATATGCCGATAAAAATAGAAATCTTTATTTTCATTTAAGGTGCTAAGATCACTATAGTCAATCTTATTTTCACAATCTTCATTAAAAAGTTTAGCAAAATATCTCATCCATCTTTGTTGAATATTATCTTCTAAGAAAAGTATTTTTTGATCTTCATCTTTAATATACTTCACTTGAACTAAATCCTTACTACTCCTATCTCTTTGTTTGGCTAACTTATACATATATCTTTCTCCCTCTTTAGTATCTAATCTATTATATAAATCACTAAAAGCTAATGCCTTTGCATCGCATATTGCTTTCTACCATGAAACTTTTAATAATTTTGCTATTTGAAGCATTCAGAATTTTAAATCTCAATTAGAATAATAATAACACTGAATGTATTTAATTAGATGACTAACTTAGACAAATACTGGCAAGAAGGGCGCCTTCGATCTCTTTATTGCTACAAATTTTTTTGTTGATTAAGCCAATTAATTTTTTATTGTGAATTCTTACATTTGCTTGAAGATTGTTCAAAATTCCGTAGTTAAATATTGATGATCTCATTATTAATTATTTGTGCTCATACTCTTTGAATTAAGTCAGCATCAGAGAGATTATCAATCTAATCAATAAGGAGTAGAAAGATTAATTACGAAGAACTCCAAATGCACCTGTTAGTAACTCTAAATCCACTTCCAATAATTGAAATGTTTCAAAAGAGAACATTTAAAAGTATTCATTAAGAGTCTTCTCATTTTGGTGAATTTCAAAAGATGAAAGGAATATTTGATGATTCTTTAATTGGTGATGAAGTATTTGACAAAAAAGGTTTGGCTATATATATATATATATATAAAGAATGATTCTTTTAGGGAGAATAAAATCATATTTGAGCTTGTCTTTTAAGAGTTGTTAGAAGACCTTACAGAGAACTGTATTAGAAGCTTGTTAAATGTATAAAATGATCATATAATAGTAATGGACGCATAAGGGTCAGAAATTCAATCATATACAACTTAAACCCTACTGAAATATCATGTTGAAGAATTACATAATTTAAAAGTTAAACTATTGAAAGTTATAATAAGAGAAAATTTAAATCCTTTCTCTCAAAGAAAATTTATCACGAACAAAGAGTTATAGCTCATATGTTATAACATCATCCAGGCTATCAATAAGGTTATGTTGATTTAAATCTGTTAGACCGGTCGAGCCGGTCCGCATGGGACCTGCATTTCGCAAATACAGCGAGATCTCCACCTCCTGCGGAGATCGGGCGGCCCGAGCGCTCATGAAGAGCATTTTAGGAAGCTTTTTTGAGAGGGAAATTTGAATGTAGGGACTGTTTAGGGATTTCCTTTTGATTTGTATGCATTAAATAGTTGGTTTTCCTAGGGTTTGATCATCTTGAATTTGGCTGAAATTTGAGATCTCTTAGATTTAGGTTTCCTTTGGGCTCTAGCGGCATCTAAAGATTTGGGAGAGATCGATCCTCCTCTCAAATTGAGGATCAATTGTATCTTGCTATTTATTCATCGTCTATTGGAATACAAGTTGTGCTTTGAGTTTTCTCTCATGTTTCCCCGGACTAGTGCTATTTTTCTGTTGTAAACAACAGATTTCTGCTGTTTTCTGTTCTTGACAACAATATTTTCATTGTTTGATATCCGATTTGGGTTAGGGTTGCTTGCGAACTCAAGTATTACCCTTGGATTACTTGCGAACTCAAGTATTTACTATCAATTTGGTATCAGAGCGTCGATTTGGGACCTTTCGGTGGCTGAAATTTGGAAATTTTAGCATATTTTTGACAACCGAAAGAAGATCTTTGTGATCCTTGGGAAGAGAGATGGTCGGGAAGAAGGTGAAAGTACTGGAAGGCGAGATCGGGCAACTAAAGTCAGATTTGGAGGAAAATCTTTTTGATTTTCAAAACCAAATCACCACAAACAATGAAAGGATCGAGGAGAAATTCACAGGGAAGGGATGTTGAAGAAATTGTTGGAGTTAAAGACCAATCCTAAGACATCGGAAGTAAGAGAGACCATCGGAGGCCATCGAGTAGGAGGGAATCCGAACCCGTTTAGGGGGAGGAGAAATCTGGAAGTGGAGGTCATTGAGAGGGAGGACGACATGCCACCTATAGAGCCACTTTCTAGAGAGGACATGAGTTTGGGAAATGACCGGAGGGGTGCTGATTTTGAAGAGAGAAGAGGGGAATATGATGAAGGGTTCGGGTATCATCGCCGGAGGGAAGATCGTGACAGTTGGGAAGCACCTTCCTTCCGATGAATGGGAGGTTATGGAGGATTCAGTGGACACGGGGGAGACCCACAGGTGAGGAAGCTGAAGATGCCCGTCTTTGAGGGTGAAGACAGTCATGGCTGGATCTACAAGGTAGAGCGTTACTTTGCGGTCAACGGGCTGGCGGAGGAAGAGAAGCTGACAGCGACGGGATTGCGTTTGGAAGGAAAAGCCTTGGCATGGTATCAATTGCGTGACAGGAGGGAGCCCATCCGGAGCTGGAGAGAGATCAAAGATTGCTTATTGGAGCGTTTCCGAGCCGATAGGAGAGGAGACTTCTATGAGCAATTCTTTGCCTTGACTAAGGAGGGACGGTGGCAGATTACTGGGATATGTTTGAGTACTTGGCTAACATATTAGATTAAATTTCGGAGTCAGCCCTAGAAGGGAACTTCATGAAGGGGCTTAAACCTGATATACGAACATCGGTCAGGGTATTGGAGCCGAAGAACCTAGGGAAGGCTATGGAGCTGGAGCAGTTGGTGGAAGATCAAAAGAAATCAGAAAGAGGAGCTTGGGGAAACTATTCAGGGGGATCTTATGTGACGACGACAACTCTTCTAGCACCCAAGTGGCCTGCATCAGGCAACATTAATGAGACCACTAGAGAGAAGCCATTAAGAGGGAGTGGGGAAAATTTCAGAGGCTGACAGAGAAGGAGATGCAAGATAAGAGGACAAAGGGATTGTGCTTCAAATGTGATGAGAAGTACATGCCGATGCATAGGTGCAATGACCGAACTCTTCAGGTTCTCCTTGTTTGTGAAGACGAGGAAGACGAGGAAGACGAGGAGAGAAGTGAGAGCAGATCTGAAGAGGAGGAGAAGAAATTGCACCTGGATGTGACAGAAGTCTCTCTGAACTCTATAGTAGGATTCACTTCGAGTCACAAGATGGAAGTGAAATGAGAGATAGCTGACCGTGAGGTGGTCGTCCTAATTGATAGTGGGGCTACCCATAATTTCATTTCCACTCAGGTCGTTGACCAATTGGAAGTGAAGTTAGTGGACACCGGTTGCTATGGATGGGTACAGGAAATGTGGAGAAAGGTCAAAGGATCTATAGAGGAGTGGTGTTGACCGTCCAGGAGATTCAGGTAAGGGAGAATTTTCTCCCACTAGAGTTAGGAAGTACTGATGTCATACTGGGAATGAAATGGTTGCAAACTTTTGGAGAAACCAAGGACAATTAGGGAGCACTCACGATGTAATTAATGGTGGATGAGAAAAAGGGGTTATAAGGGGAGATGCAAGGCTATCCAAAGCAATGACAGCACTTAAGACCATGGTTAGGGACATACAAGAGATGGGGGAAGATTATATGATGGGACTACACAGGTTGGATGCGATCAGATTGGAGGGAGGGGATGTTTCTCTTTCCATGCAACCCTTAGTTCAACAATACAGTAAGGTTTTTCAGTCACCACAAGGATGGCCACCTCCGCGGGAACATGAGCATATTTCCACCTTGAGGACAAGGTGGATCTTTGGGAGGGGAGTATTGTTAGACCTGTTTAGCCGATCCGCACGGGACCGGCATTTCGCAAATACTGCGGGATCTCCGCCTCCTGTGGAGATCGAGCGGCCCGACCGCTCAAGAAGAGCATTTTAGGAAGCTTTTTTGAGGGTTTTGAGAGGGAAATTTAAATGTAGGGACTGTTTAGGGATTTCCTTTTGATTTGTATGCATTAAGTAGTTGATTTTCCTAGGGTTTGATCGTCTTGAATTTGGCTAAAATTTGAGATCTTTTAGATTTAGGTTTCCTTTGGGCTCTAGCATCGTCTAGAGATTTGGTAGAGATCGATCCTCCTCTCGAATTGAGGATCAATTGTATCTTGTTATTTTATTCATCGTCTAGTGTATGCTTTGAGTTTTCTCTCAGATTTTCCTAGACTAGTGTTGTTTTTCTGCTGTAAACAGCAGATTTCTGCTGTTTTCTGTTCTGGATAACAATATTTTCACTGTTTGATCTCCGATTTAGGTTAGGGTTGCTTGCGAACTCAAGTATTTCCTCTCAAAATCTTGTATGAATGGTAGAGGATTATGTATAGGCTATGCAATAGGATGAGTGGCTTTACTCTTAGCGATAAGATACGAAATGAGCATATTCGTGAAAAGATTGGAGTAGCTCTAGTGGAAGATAATATTAGAGAGAGTCGCCTTAGATGGTTTGGTCACAGAAAACGGCGGCCTTCTGATGACCTGATTAGGAAAATAGATGTATTAAATATGACATAAGTCAAGAAAGGTAGATACAGACCTAAAAAAGACTTGATTAGAGAATATTTGAAATGACATTTCCTTATTATATTTAAACAAGAATTTGACTTTTAAGTTTTAACCAAACAGAATGGAGAAAAAAGATTCATGTAGCCCACCTCAAATAGTGAGACAAAGGCTTGATGTTGATGTTATATATTTTTTTCTGGAGCATACAAGAATAGTACTAACATGCCTGATTATTTTATGCAATGCAGAGACATTTTCCTTGTTGCTGCATATTGAAAACCGGAATCATGTTACCATATCAGTGGATTTTATTAATTACTTGCTGTTTATTAATAATATTATTTTTTATGACGGTATTGCAGCATCGGCAGTGCAGAAATCGCTATTGCCTGCAAAGGAAGACGAGGTTTTAAATTCCCAACCAGATATGTGGCACAAAATTATATAAACTTACAATTACGAAAACTGTCACAAACGAAGCCTTAATTTGTGCATTCAGGACATGTCAATTTCTTGATACGAGTTCGAAGTATTTATGTAACTACCTGAATGAATTTTATTCATCTGGTGGCCTCGTACCATTAACTATATCAACGATATTGATAAATCACTGGAAGCCGTCGGCTCAACGAGTTGAAGTAGCTTTTGAAAAATGACAATAATATGTATCTTCGTTTCCACAACCATAATAATAGACGGTCATAATCGAGCAGCTTGCTGAGCAAATGCTGGGTCCATGCATACCACCACCTGCAATGGGAGTTTTGAAGAAATTTTGGTTTAGTGAATCTCCAACTGAAAATCCCAATTTTCACTCCAAAATGCAGTGAAACTAAAAAAAGGCGTGATTCATCTCCAATTGAACTCTATTTTGCGCAAGGTAACCGTCGTTCCCTCTTTCAAGCGTTTCTTCGGCAAATCTGGTAGAGACAGAAAAATAACGCAGGTGAACAGTGCAATGCCAATATTGGCGTCGCATTGTTCACCCGCAACCAAATACTCGAAGTTTTGCCGTTCGGCTAGAGCTTGCGAGCGACGTCATTCATGCGTTTGAAGTTTGGTTGGAGGTCTGATAGCGGAAACTATATATATATATATATATGAGAGAATTTACCTTGCCAAGACTCTGACCAGAATGGAGATGTTCAACTGCATCGGCTACGGCAGCAAGGCCCAAGAACTTCCTTGGATCCACAGCAACCTATTGCATTTAGTTGAACATGTCGATTAGGAAAAAAAGTTTATCAAATAGAGAAGATAAGAACCAAAATTGAGCTAACTCGAACAAAAAAACTGAAAACAAGGCAAATTGAGATCCAAGATAGTGGCTGCAGAAGAAAATAAACCAGAGCAAGTAAATCTAAGATATATTTGAATTTTAAATGAGCAATATTTTACTTGCCAAAAAATATAACATCAAATTAGCATAGATGACATAAGAAAATCACGTAATTGAATAGAAAATGTCCTTATGTTGTACTTAGATTAAAATGCCACTTTACCTTACATGGAATACTACTGTTTGTGTTATATTCACTGCATGCCTTTGAATTAGTAAACCTAGTAAAATATTGCTACAGAGCTGTGAAATATATGATTCATTATTATTAACGGCATTCTGATTGATGTATGATTTTTGTTCTTAAATTTGAGATTACAAAAACCTTTACATGTTAAACTAACCTACCCTCCACCATCTTAATGTCCTTGAAGGATTATATTTCTACTTGTTCAAGGTATGTGATACCTCAGATTCCCTACATAAATTAAGACTGGTGCTTTTGATTTTCCATAAAAAATTAAAAACACCTTATTCATATTAGCAATCTCAAGCTTGACGCAATAAGAATAGAGATTTTATTATTGTAGTTTAAGTTCAAGAATATTCCGAGGTTCTTTGGTCAAAATCCAGTAAGGAGGAGAAATACTAGCTTTCTGGTTGAGTTTTTTTTTTTTCTTTTTCAGTTTGCTATGTTGTGACTCTATTGGTAGTAAGTTCAATAAAGTTTTGTGCATATCTTCATTTGTTTAGTCTCGAAGGTAGCATTTGGTACTGGAATATATAAAATCATAACACTTCATGCCACTATTTCAAATAAAACCATTTCAAACTTAATTCCCCTTCTTAAATTTATATGTGAAACAAACTTGAACTATGGACCATGGCGAGGGTAAAATATAGCCATGTTGTATCCTCATCTCATGCGGACCAGCTTAAGTTACTATGCCTCCACATTCTTATTGTTTATATAGTTGCCAAACAGCATAAATCTAACTGAAAAAAAAAAAAGAAAACGCATTTCTATATAAAGAAATCAGAACCGACAAGCTGAATCTGGTATAAGTTTAAGATTTCAAAAGACAGTACCTTGAGTTTTCCAGAAGAGTAAAGATCAAACAGTCTATTTATATGCTCATTCCAGAAGCGACTATAGTGATTTAGAAAAAATCCAGCCTGCAAGGATGAGTCAGAAAATGAGAATGACCAAACATTAAAGTATAACAAGCATAAGAACAACAACTACAAAAACTAATATTAAAAACAAGAAATACGCCGCCACTATTTTAAAATCAATATTAGTTCATATGTAAATGTGCTTCATAGTAATAAGCCAAGAAATTAATGAATATACCGGTGGTAGAAGAACAATGCAAATTCTATGCCTAATCTGAAAAGAATCACGTTATCCAGGAATTACAACATAATTGGAGCAATCAAATTCATTTAAGGTCATATATTACTTTATCCATTTCAATTTTGACGGAGCCATGAGGGTGAGTTTCATGTGTATAATAGCTATTACGACGATAAATCCAAAACTAAGCCAAGTAATTTAAAAAGCTCCCATCAAAGATACAAGAAGAAAAATAATACAAGATGAATAAGGATTGTTTATACATAACCATTTCAGGGTTTTTTTACATTTACTGTTTCGGAAAACAAAGTAACATCTTATTAGAAAAAATATATGGGTGACCATGCTTCATGAGCAGAAAACAGAGTCGGGGAGAATGATGTTTTACACATGCCATTTGTAAGGACCCAAATAGTTAATTTTTAATTAAGAGGTTAATATTAATAATAAATAAATAAATTATGAATAAATTTATATTTAATCAAGATAAATATAACTAAATAAAATGACATTATTCTTGATGGGTTCAACCCGGCACTGTACAACCCAAACCCGACCCGTTTTTGCAAACGGGTCGATTTTTCGGATCCGAACTCGACCCGCTTTGGATTTTTTTACTAAAACTTTTTTTATTTAATTTGATTTATTTAAACTTAAATCGAATTAAGGTAAGATTTACTTCAATCAATTTAAAATAAACTAAGCTTAATTTAATTTGGGCAACATGATTTATTATTTTTTGGAAATAACATTTACTTATTTCATAACAATCTTTTAAAACCCTTCTAAATCAATTAAAAACGGATAAAATCGGGTTGATTTCAATTTTCCGGGTCAACCCAAACCCGACCCGGTTCGGATTCGGGTTGACCCGAACCCGAAATTTTCGGGTCGGATCAAATATTGACACCACTAGGTGAGGGCATCAAGTCAAGCATAATCTATGAGGGTAGGCAAGGGCTATGTGTGACACAGCGTATCGCATAGGCAATCGGATCACGAAGTGCTACAAGGGTGATATCTGTAGGAATTATGACATGTTTGATTCACATAGATTTGAGAGAAACTGAAGCCTGCATATAGCGGCTTAAGGATATAACAGAGAAAGGTTCCGTGTATATTAATTGCACAAGATGAGTACAGTGTGCAGCTTATAAAGAACTGAGGTAACTATAAAAGAAAGAGCAAATTATCTGAGCCAAAATACAAAAACAGGAAATAATCATAGTAGTGAGGCCTGGAAAATATTGGCAAGTCTGAAGCACTTGTAGTAATGAGTGGCTAACATCCCCCTGCAAATTAAGTATCCAAAGGTTAGATAGTTAATTTGTGTCGAGGTGTGCTGAAGCGAGCGGCGGAGAGAGACTTCGTCAACATGTCCACCGGCTGATCCAAAGAGGTAACATGGAGCAAGTAGATCTCCTTAGAGAGGATTCGGTCCCAAATCAAGTGGTAGTTGATTTCAATGTGCTTCGTGCATGCGTGAAAAACCAGGTTGTTGGAGAGAGCAATGGCGGAGGTGTTGTCACAGTGGAGGGGGTTGCTGTGGTTTGAGGAATGAGAAAGTCTGCTAGTAGACGATGAAGCCATATGATGTCTGAGGTGTTAGAAGCGAGAGCAAAGTATTCGGCTTCAGTGGAGGATTTGGCCACTGTGGGTTGCTTCTTGACGCACCAAGAAACTAAGGTATTGTCAAGGAAGGAGCAGAAGCCAGTTATAGACTTGCGATCTACGCTGTCCGCCGCCTAGTTCGAGTTGGAATATGAGCGTAGAGTAAGGTTGCCTTTTGTGATGGGTAGAGCAAAATGAGCTGAGCCTTGAATGAAACGTAGCAGCCGTTTGAGAAGCTGGTAGTGTTTGTTGAGGGGGTGATGTATATGTTGCAAACTGATTTGTGGCGAAGGCTATTTTCCTGTAGAGTGCTGGGTCGAGGTAGGAGACATTGTCAGAGGCTGTTGTTGTTGGTTTTAGAGAGGTGGGGGAGGGAGAGGATTTGTAATTTGCTAAACCAGATTTGTTGAGAATGTCTAAAGCATATTGTGTTTGACGGAGAAAATAGCCCGTTGGTGTGTGAGTTATCTGAATGACCAAGAACAGAGAAATGGGACCTAGCTCCTTGACCGAGTATTGGTGTTTGAGTTTGGAAATGAGAGTGGAAATAGTGGGGGGTGCATGGTTGCTAGTTAGTAGGATATTGTCTACGTAGAGAAGGAAGTATATTTGGATGTGGTTGTGTGAGTAGAGAAGAACAGAGGGAATAGCTGTAGAAAATTGGAAGCCAAAGTTGAGAAGGAAGTCGGTGAAGGTGGTAAACCACTCCCTTGGAGCTTGTTTCAAGTCATAAATGGCTTTGCTAAGTTTGCAAACATTGGAGGGATATCAAAGTCTCGAGAAAGCTAGGTGGTTAATGCATGAATACATCTTCATGGAGTTGACCGTGGAGAAAGGCGTTGAAGACATCGAGTTAAAGAACGGGCCAATTGTGATGGAGGGCAATGGTAAGGAATATTAAGATGGTGGGTAGTTTTGCTACGGGACTAAAGTTTTCGGTGTAGTCGATTATGTGTTCTTGATTGAAGCCTTTAGCGACTAAGCGAGCTTTGTGGCGAGCAATGGTTCCGTCAGAGTGAAGCTTAGTTTTATATGTCCATCGACAGCCAAGGACATTGTAAGAAGTGGGCGATGGTACTAATGTTCAAATGCCCTGTTTTTGGAGAGCTTGGAACTCCTCGAACATGGCTTGTTGCCAGATAGGGAGTCGATTGCTTGACTATAGCATGTTGGAGTGGAAGGTGGGTTGTTTGTGGGTTTGAGGTGGCCGATTTTGAATCTAGTGAGCATGGGATCGGTGTTGTTTTGTAGTGTAGGTTGATGGGGAGGAGTGGGAGGTAGGAGAGGATCAGAAGGGGATGGGGAGGATATGGAGCAAGGTATTTTTTTGGGATTGTGGAGCTGTAGGGGAAGGTGGTGATGTGGAAGGAGTATGTGTTAATGGAGATTGGGGTGTGATGGACGAGAGGTGTATAGGTGTAAGAGGCGATTGGAGGGGAGGAAACGGGAAAGGGAAAAATGTGGTCGTGGCTTACAACATGACGAGAGGCATGTATGCAGCTGGTTTGAAGGTTGTAGTAGCGATAGCCTTTGTGAGGAGCTGAATAGCCTAGGAAGATGCATTCAGCTGATCATGGGAGAAGCTTGTTGGGAGTGAGAGGGGCTAGCCAGGGAAAGCATAGGCAACCAAAGGTTTTGAGGTGGTGATAGGATGGGCATTTATGATAAAGGATTTGATATGGAATTTGGAGGTGTAGAAGCTTTGGTTGGTAGACGATTGATGAGGTAGTTGGCGGTTAGGAGAGCTTCAGCCTAGAAGCAGATAGGAAGGTTAGCTTGATGGAGTAATGTGCGAGAATGGTGTCCAAAAGGTGGCGATGTTTTCTTTCTGATAGGCCTTTTTATTCAAGTGTGTAGGGGCAACTTAGTTATTGATGTTGAATGTCGCAGGAGGTGAGAAAATTTTGAAAGGCATGGGAGAGATATCACCGAAGCCGAAGTCGGAGCGAAGGATTTTAAAGTGGGTATTGAGTGAGTTTTCAGCCATTGAGCATAACTATTTGAATTTAGAGAAGGTTTCAGCTTTTGTATGCATAATATATAGACAACAAAATCGGGAGAAGTCATCAATGAAAATTACATAATATCTAAAACCATTAAGAGACATAACGGGAGCTTATCCCCAAACTTTAGAATGAATTAGTTCTAAAGGTTTTGAGGTACATGTAGAGTTTAAAGGAAAGATAACTTGTGGCTTTTAGCCACATTACAGGACATACAAACAAAATAACTAGGGGAAATACATAAGTGTGGATTGAGGTTTGCTAAAGTTTGTAATATAAGATGATGCGCATGGCCAAGCATGGTGTGCCAAGTTGAGGTGGATTGATGTCGAGTGGAGAGAGCTATAGAAGAGGAGCTACGGATGGACGAGAGGAGGAAGAGCCCGTTATGACTTCGACCGTGGAAAAGTACATGATTGGTAGTTGGATCCTTAAAAAGATACCCAGAAGAATTAAACAAGATAGAGCAATGGTTATTTGTGGTAAATTTATGAATGGAAAGGAGATTGTGGTGGAGGGAAAATGGAGGATGTTTTGTAAATGAAGCTTACTGTTTGGAGTTGGGAAGAGACCTTGCCCGGTGTGTTGAATTGAAAGGGAAGAGCCATTTGCGGTGGAGATAGCGTTTGAGCCAATGTAAGGCAAGGATGTTGAGGATTGTTGATGCCGTTCGTGAGATGAGTTATGGCCCCCGAGTCCAAGAACCAGTCTGTAGAGGGGATGCTTTCATGTTGAGTGAAGAGACCAGTTGATGAGAAAATTTGGATCGGTTGGTAGTCAAAGTTGTATCTATGCCAACAGTGAGGTGCAGAGTGACCGATTTTTCCGCAGATCTGGCATTGAGGGCGAGGGAATAGATGGAGTTGGTTCGGAGGGAGAGCGACCGTGCCCGAATTCGTGAGAGGCCAAGCCGCGACCACGGGAAGGTAGGGAGGGAGTGGAGCGACCTCTTCCGTAGCGATGAAAACGACCTCTTCCGTAGCGATGAAAACGACCTCTATAGGCGAAGGAGGACTCTTCAGCTGGTGATGGTGGGAGTTTGGAGAGCTCGGTCTGTAAGTTAACTTCTTCGCTGCAGAGTAGCGAATATAGGTCGTCGAGGCTGATGGGGGTGAGGGTAGTACGTATGACAATTTTGAAAGCTTGGTATGAGGGAGGTAAAATGTTGAGAGTATAGAGGATGATGTCCTCTGTGTCCATATGCGCTTCGGCAGCAGTGATGCTGTCGACCAGACCTTTGATGGCGGAGAGGTATTGAGTCATGGAGAGGTCTTTCATTTGGACATGATGAAGTTTGTTTTTGAGTTGGATGACGCAGGAACTGTTGGAGGGTTGGAGTTGCTTCTCAAGGGTCGAACATATGTCGTGAGTGGTGTGGAGGGTGAGGACATAAGGAAGCGTGGAGGGGGAAATGGTAGAAAACAAGGTTGAGGCTAGGTTTTGATCTACTTTTTTCCAAGAGAGGGAGGCTAGGTTGATGATAGTGTCTCCGGCAGAGGAAAGTAAGTTCTATGGTGGTCAGAGCTCTATGCCGGATAAGAACCCCTCGAAGCCATTGGTTGTGAATAGTTTTAAGGATTTGGAGTTTCCGTATGGGGAAGTTATCATTGGTAAGTTGGACATGAGCAATGTGTTTGAGGTTAGAGACAAGAAATTTGAGAGAGGAAGGAATAGTGATGTTTGCGGAAGAAGCAGGTGAAGTAGCGCCCAAAGCATCGATGGAAGAGAAGGTGTTGTTGTAATTGCACATGAGCTACAGGAGGTCAACTTGCTCTGATACCATGAGAGAAACTGAAGCCTGCATATAGTGGCTTAAGGATATAACGGAGAAAGGTTATGTGTGTATTAATTGCAGAAGATGAGTACAGTGTGCAACTTATAAAGAACTGAGGTAACTATAAAAGACAGAGCAAATGCTGAGCCGAAATACAAAAATAGGAAATAGTCAGGGTAGTGAGGCCTGGAGAATAACGGCAAGTCTGAAGCACTTGTAGTAAGTGGCTAACAAGATTATCTCTAGTTATGTAGTCACTCTTATCTTTTTTTTTTTTTATTTATGATACATTCCCTATCACTTTGCCGTTTACATTTTAATATATAGGAGCTAATTGCTAGCTTTAAATTCTCAAATTGACTCATTATTAACTTTCTCGTAGCAAGTCCAGTTAAAGTGTTTGGTGGATCATTACCCATTACAGCAAGAGTAAATTTATCAGCAGTAGGACCTATTTGATATTTTTAGTTTTTATGGCAGGTTATTCGTATTTTCTTTTGAAGGTTTAGATAATTTTATTTTAGCAGTTGCTTCATCCAGTGCTCGTTTAAAATTTATTGTTCCCACTTTATTGATGTACTATTATTTGACTTATAGGAATGAAATTAAATTTTACTTTTTTCTTCCATTGTTTACTTTAATGTATACTGTTATATTATTAATACATGAAACTTCTACTTTTGAGGATAAAACAAGTTTTACTTATCTCTTCATCATGTCCCGTATTGCTATGGTTCACCACTTTCTATACCCAGAGTGTGAAAAACAAAGACTTGGGATGTTTCTATTTAGCTTTGATAACATTAAAACTTCATGTCTTTGTGGAGAGACTTGCTTTTTGGTTTATTCTTGTACTTGAGCACTCCAAAGTGTGAAAGTTGAATCGTTTGGAGAGAGACGTTCCTTTCTTTAATTATTGATTCACAAGCAGTGTGATTGATGTATTTTTAGATTTATTGCATATCTGACTTGCTTTACATGCACAATGTACTGATTTCCATTATTCTTCTTTCTTAAGGTTGATCTGATTAGAAAATAAATAACCTTTACTGGAATTGAATTCCATTTTTTTCAATTTATCATCTTAGTAGTAACTAATTGCTTGACATACTTGGCTTCAATGCAAGATTTGCATCATTATTCATGCATTTGCGGCATTAAATGTGGCATCTTATCAAAACGTGTATAAAAGTAATCATTTTGCATATTTCAATTTAATGATGCGCCAGTTTACATATTAAAATTGCATTAAATCTTAGATCATAGGATGCCCTGCACCACAGGATGTGGCGTGGCGATGCATATACTGGAATTCCGTTTTAAGGGCAAAGAAAATTACTCTCAGTCCCTTGTCCTGACAAAATATTTTTCTTCCTTCAGCTTCCAATTCTCCATAAATTTTTTTATGCCCCTACTCTATTTCAGGAAATCTAGTAGCACAGCACCTTGTCCTTCCTCACAGCCATTATCCTACACGACCACATGTGCACTTAGCTTGCCAGTTGTGAAAAGAAATGGGCAACGCTAATGCTGGCACCGACTTTGCACTTCCCATGTGTATGGAATGTCAAGCAGACAGAACGACCAGAGCAGAACGATTAGGAAATTAACTGTAGTCAGAAAAATGTCCTTGTAAGGTACCCTCATACTTGTTAATGGCGAATGACGCACCATGGCACAAATGTCTCTTTGGAGCTATGGCGCATAGCGCACAGCACGGCCCGCGCCATTTTGAACATCTCACATACTATATAATAATTATAAAAAAACAAGCACGAAGATGAAATATCATTAAATGGAAAGACAAGTTATCATAATAATGAAACAAAACAATAATCATGCATAAGTTCAAGTAAACAACATCTCAAATCTCTCAGAATTCAAATTATTATAATCATTTTTTAAAAGGATAATGATTTTATAAGAAGGTTAATAAAATAATTATTTTAGATTATTATAATACGAGCTTCTTAGTTCAAACTTCGAAAAAAATGTTCTTCTCCCTCAATATATTTTTATTCTTGAATCATTTCACCAATATGAAGAGTAAAATCCAGGTTGAGAAGAAATGAAATGCAAAAAAAAAAAGAAGTCTAAAGCAATAACGACAAAATCGGTTAGAGAGGAAGATTAGCCAATACCTATATAGCAATAGCGGCAAAATAAGTCGGACAATGGATCAACAACGACGGAATCACGTGAAGAAAGAAACAAACAACAAAGAAAACAACGGCGGAATCACGTGATTGAAGAAACAGACGACGAAGAAAGTAGTGGCGTTCTCACGTGACGAAAGAAACAGATGGACCAGAATCAGACGAAGGAGAGGGTGACGGAATCAAACGAACGACTCGGGCATATACGAGTAATGATTCCGTCAGGTTACCGAATGCATTCGGAAACCAATAACAAAACGTCACATCACTAAAGTGTTCGGTATTGTGCTCGGTACAGGCGCTCGGTACACTCGGTATGCTCTGTATTTTTACCGGACGCAATAAAAATTCCGAACGCTGAGGGTTAGGGCAAAGCATTTATAAAGCTTAATTAATATTTTAATCATATTTTAAAATTAAATATTCTATTATCTTATAAATTAAAAATATAAATATTAAAAAATATTTATATCTATTATAAAAAATAGCACGTTATTTTGCACTATGTGCCATGCACCATTGCGCGCATATGGCCCAAATAACGCGCGCTATTTTGAACATTTGAGCCATGCCATGCTCCATGGCGTGCACTATTTTGCACCATTAACATCTATGGGTACCCTGACATTGCTCCATGCAACCATATGATGGAAACTACGAGAACACGATACAGTCGTAGGTAGCCCCCCCTCACAAAAGGCAGGGGACTTAATGCTACAAGATTAAAAGCTCAGCTACTGAATGAGTAGAAGCTACGCTATAATATTTTTTCCTGCCATATAATACATGATATGCATGATATATAATGTCAACATGAATGCAGTAATTAGCAATCAACATAAAGCAGCACTTTCTCCAAGGAGAAGCAAAAGGTAAAAGTACATCTAAGCATGATTAATGATGTAAGTTACAGGTTCCTGAAATATGCGATTAAACAAAGAAAATTATGAGAAAAATATATAATTGATTTTTGATATCATTAAGATAAGACTACATACCACTGTTTGGCTTTTTGCTAGAATTTTTTCGCATAGACCAGTATAACTCAGGGGCCTCCATCCATGCTCTCCTTGATACTGAATGCACATCAGTTGGTTTAGAAAAAAAAAATATAAGCTACTCAATAAAACAAAAACACTGGACAAGGATTTATGATGAAAAAGAAATAAACAAGCAGCCCGCCGCTATCAAGATTTTAGCAGGTTAAACACATACAACAGGGCATCGTACAAGACTCACAATGGCATTGCTATTTTTGAAGCAAGCCCTATCCCTTGGCTGTTATTATGAATCTTAAAGCAAGCTTTTAAACCATTAAAAAACTAAAATTGTATAAGCAGAGGAAGTAATACAACACGCAAAATTTTCAAATGAACTGAATCTGCATATAGGTTAGTCTGCTGACAAAATACTAATAGGAAAAATAAGACAAAAAAGCACGTTGAGGAAACTTTTTTTTTTTTTTGAAGCAACTTTGAGCTTCAGCAGACATTATAGTGACACAAAATGAATAAAATACGTTAACTAAACCTACACCATAGTCATTGCTGACATTCAGAAAGAATATTATAAGCACGACATTGTAGCATTATTGGATGCCACCCAATACAAGAAACATGTGACAAGAAAATAGAACCAGGCCCAGACATTGATGTTTGTTCAAATCATAACTTACTACTATAAATGAAGAATGAATTAGAATGAATATGCTAGAGGATCTGGTTCAACACCAAAATAAAAGGATTATGCTTCGTACTGAAATATAAGAAAAGATATAGGGTTTTTAACAAGCTGGTTAAGGGATATTAAATATTGAATTGCTGGCCTCTAAATCTCCTTTAGTAGGAATGATCGTTGTTGTGGAAGATCCAAATTGAGTTGTTTCCCAAAAGGCGTGTCCACGTATATCCTTGGGAAAGGCAATGAACAGAAATTACTCACGCATGGATCAAAACCTTGCTCCAACCAATCAAGAGGCTCAATAAACATAGCTCAATCAAAAAACTAATTTTATCCAAATATAATAATTCTTTAGGGTAATGCGGTTCTAGTGCCTCCATTATGACTTCACGCCCATCACCCACACACATGAGGCACTTATGCCCCTTCGCAAGCCCATGTATCTAACTCTGCCACTGCAATGTACCACCTTCGCATATTGTCCCCATCATGTGGGTAGCTTGCCCAAGCACCCATGTGCGTAGCAAGCATATTATGCCCTACCATTGTGTCCCTTACTGATGCTAACATCCCTCATGATTAACTTTAACGACGTGCCATCTAGGGTAGCAGCCTCGCTATCCACTGCACTAACCAATCACTTCTCTGCTATTCAAGCGTCTCACATTTTCTTATTCAAAATCAATGCCACTAGCATCTCTGTTCCCATCAACTTTGTCTGGTAGTTCTTGTCGATGCTCACCTTCCCTCTCTTCAAGTAATAACCGTAACTGGTTGACCACACCCAAACTGGACTGATCAACTCCAACTTTGTGTGAACAAGCAGTGATTTGCACGATTACGCTCCTCACATGACTTCGCCCATTATGCTGTAATCATTGTTCAAAAACTCACACTCATCATCATGAGCGTAATTTAAGGAGAAAGGGGACCTAGTGCATCATACTTCTCTCTCCTCTTGACCCTTCCCTATTGCAACCACCAAACTACTACTTCCTCTTCCTAAAACCCTAACCGCCAATCTATTCCAAGGCAACAACAATAAGCCATGTTTTCCCCTTTCTTTTTCTTATCTTCTTATTCGTCTTCCTCATTCTTATCTTTTCCAGTTATTTGTAATTGTAGGTTTGTTTATCCTAGGTTTATGTTTGCATATATATATATATATATATTAGATTGTAGGATTAGGATTAGGTTGTTAGTGAGAAGTTATTCCACATTAATGTTAACTTATTTAATATATTTTTTTTGTGGTAACTTAGGTTACACCTATTTCAATAATTAATTATTTTAATACCATTTAATGTGTCATCTAATTCACTCAAGATTTATATTGTTTAGAAAATATCAAGTTAATACCAATTCGTGTTGGCTCTTTGGAGTTTGTGAGAACATAGGTTTGAATGTCGCAACATGATGTAAGTAGTTGTTACTTATTAAAGGACAAATGCATCCATCTTTGTTAGAAATGTTATCCTTGTTATTTGTGTTAGGTTCCTAGATACTATAGATTGTCTGTAACACCCCACAATACATTTTAGTAGTAACATAGAATGTCATAAATATAAACATAACATTCATAATTTACATTTAAATATGATTTTATGTTGTCTAGATGAGTGTAAAAGGAATGCAAAAGAATTTTTTTTGCTTGAAGTAAAATGAATGCGATGTAAATGAAAATGTTGATGATAGACGGATGTTGTGGTCAGTGGTGGCGGTGATGGTGGGTGGCAGGAGGTTAGATCTAGCACATTAATATTTTCTTTTGGGGGTTGGATAGTTTTTTTAGTAGTTGCTTCTTGTAATACTCTTTTCATGTATCATTGTTCCCACATTATTGATGAACTATTATTTTGATTCATGGTAATGAAATGAATATTTACTTGTTTTGCTATATTACCTATAAGTGAACTTTCTTCTTCTAAGTACAAAACAAGTTTTACTTATACATTCATCACGTCCCATGTTGCTAGGGTACACCACCACCCAAACTTGAGGTATAATACTCCGCTCCTCACACAAAATGCTGCTAATGTTTCAACTAGTCTCTTATTTGCCGGCTTGTCATCACCACTTATTATGGTCGCCCCTATCTTCACAAAGACTCCTCATCCTGCTTACATATCATTGGGTATAATGTCTTCAGCTACTTACACTCCTCGATCCTTAGAAAAAGTAGTTTGGGGGTTGAAGGCTTCAGGAATTCATCACCCTTTATCTAATTATTTTCCTTTATTTTTCAATAATAATTAATATCTCCTCAACATAAGCAACCATCTACATTTCAAGGCAAGCTTACACTCATATTTACTAAATCTCAAAACTATTAGTGGACAAATTTTCTACGGGTCTCCCCTAATCAAGAGATTAGTCACAATTTTATGTAAATTTATGTTAAGCTTACACTAAATTGGTGACTTCTTTGTGAGGCCACTGACACTCGTTATATAATTATATTACTATCTTTAATTCAGAAACATATGACACTAAACTCTTCTCTCGACAATCCTACTAACTAGGTCAACCACAATCTGATGTATATGTTAAATTGTCTCCTTACTTTGACTCTTTCAAGGATGCTATTTTTATTACTTTTCCTAGCTTCATTTATATCATTTTAACCAATTAACTTTATGCTCCTTGAACTCTTTGTAGTAACCATTACAAGTGTATTTTGTTATGTCTCATTTATTTAGGTCGCCTATGGCTAGAGTTCTAATTGAATTTCTTACATCATTTATCCGTTCGAGAATGTGGATTGGTTCCTTGTCATATGGCTATTGACAGAAGATAGATTTTGAAATTATTTCTTCTTACAATACTACTAGTAATTACTTAGACATAATTATGTTTTAAGGTCTATCTAAAACTGAGAAAATCAAACTTCTAGGCACAAGAGGTGCATATAAATGATCAGATCAATCATGATGTTTGCTGCTCCTCCAACTTCATATCAAGTTTGCGCTCAAATTTTGGAACCAACTTTAGAACCTCCGATGGAACATGAGCCTTTTGCATCTTCCCCTACTAGGGCTACAGATATGATCACTACATCTGCAAGCATGTCCTGACACTACTATTTTATAAGACCCTCATCTTCTTCGTATTATCAAAGAAGTTGCTGACTATGATTCACATTCACAACAATCATATATTTTAAATGAAAGCATTAAAAGTATTGACACTCTAGTGAATAGGAGGTTCTAAATCCTATTTGCCAAATAGAGTTGGAGTAAGAAATAAATTTATTGTCGCTATTCAAGATTCACAAGGCTTCAAGCAAAGTTTTGCAAATGAGAGTTTATCTGATTTTCCTTGCTTTTGAAGAACTTTTCATCACCGGCTGCTAAGTTATTTTTAGTTTTGTTTTATGTATTTTATTTTCCTTTGGCAACTCATTATAATTATCTTACATAGTTCTCATATCATTTTCTAGTTACAAACTTAACCTTTAAGAGAAAAAAGAAATCCCAATCAAAGACGATCAACCTCAAATCCAACCAACTCAAGATCGGTTAACTCTAAGACTACCCATTCAAGGCTAATCAACACCAAACATAGTTGAATCCATGTTAGTCAAGTAGAGCCTAGCTTAATCAAGTCTAGTATATAATGATCCAATCCAAATTATGCGTGGTAATATTTGCTTCAGAGCTGTGATATCCCATGCTTGGACCGGCCAGTCCAAGCTATTTGTGTGACACAAGAAATGTGCGATTTGCTCTTCACGTAAGATTGAGCAGAGCGGACCTTCTCCCTTTCTCTCATGAACAGGTCGAGCGGCCCCCAACTGCGATTCTCCTCTCTCCAATCATGTAAATCACGCCATTTCTCCGACCTTAAAAATCCTCCCGCCCTTGCGACCTTCTTCTCACCAATTAAACCCACTAGGGAACTTAGGGCATCATTTTTACTCCTCTTTTCTCCCTCACAACAGCCATTAAACTCTCCTTCCACTTCGTTCTTCATTTTTTCCTCACAATAGCAGCTCTCGGTGAACTCTTCTCAAACTCCTCTCGTTATACAATGAGTTTTATCTCTCCTTCCATGTTTCTCCTTATGTTTCTAATAATCTATGTAAGAGTTTTTTCAATTTTTCTTGCGAGGCTAAATTTGATTCGTATTATATTTCGCATAGCCTTAAATTTCTCATAGGAGATTTGTATTGCTTTGGAGAGAAAGTTTTATATTAGTTTAATGTTCTACTTAATCAAACCCTATAATATATTTTTTAGATCGTATTATTTCATAATTAATTTTGTTGTTTATAACGTGACTAAGGTTGATTAGGATATTCTTTATTATGCATCGATGAATTTATGCTATTGACTGACATTATCTATGCTTGGAGAGCCAAGATTCAGCTCGGCATATATCTTTACTTACAGCCAAACATCAATTAGTTATGCTCTTGCCCTAATAAAAGCCTACGGTTCACTATATCCATGGCATTATATGCTCTTATGGTAATATCAATAAAGTGAATATTCGAAATAAAAGGAATTAAATAAATAAATAATCCACTAGTATACCAACCAATTAATCTGATAAACTAAAATCTAAAAAAGAATGCCAAAGATAATAAGCCACCAAAAAAAGGTAACTAAATTTTAGCAACATAAAGAGCTCATAAAAGAAAATCACCTGAGAAACCATTCCGATTACAACCAGTCTACCATAGACTGCTAATGCATTTAAGCATAGATTAAACATATCTCCTCCAACAGATTCATAGATAATATCAACACCCTTCGGAAATTCATTTTTCAGTACCTAAAGAATGAGCAATAAAAACGAAGTAAATAGAGAATAAATGATTCTACGATTTATAGTATAAACATTCTTTTAAGAAATAAAAAGGTAGTTATAAAAAAATTGGTAATATGAAAGTAATTCTAAGAGAAGCCTCAGTAAAAATTAAAAACTTAAAAATAACATAAAAGTTCTAAGAAATTTCTTAATCAAAATTTTGAAAAAACGTGAAGATATACATTTAGAAAATTTATAAATTCCAAGCTATCAATATCGTCAATTATCCATATTGGAACTCAAACATTGGAAGCACTTCAATAATTTAACCATAAATTCCACATGTATGTGCCCCCTCCACTTTCCATGAAATTACTATAAACTCAAGAAGACAGTAAATTATTAAACATACAAATAAAAACAAAAGATACCTACATCTTTTATATTTTCCTTTTTGTAATCTATGACACGATCAGCTCCAAGAGATCTCAAAAGTTCAGCTTTGCTTTCACCACCACAAGTTGCAACAACCTTATTTTTAGCTAGTTTTGCCAGCTAAGAAGAGAAAAGAAAGATCAATAAAATGGACTAGGTTGAATCATAATGAAACACAATATCAAGAATATTGTAACAAAGAACTACATGCTTATATACTGTGTAAAATAAACCAAACATCTTCTGTCTTTGCTCTATGCTTATAATTTTCTCTAGACTAAAAAAAAATTAAAAAATTATGGTGACTGAAAATTTTAAAGTAAATAGAAATCAAGAAGAAAAACATTGAAATAAAGATGACTATTCACAGAAGATACAACAATAACAAAGTATGTGAAGTATATTATGCTTGTTGATGTATTAAGTAGTAAGGTTCCAAATTTAAGAAGCTGATAATATGTGATTTAACATCATCTTAATCAGGCATATTATTTTCTATTATTTGTTTCCTTATGGTATCCTTTTATGTCTATTTATAGGCATCACATGTTTAATCAATTACAGAGTAATTTTTCCTCTAAAAATGGTATCATACCAAGAAAAACCTAGCCGCCTATTGATTAATCCCATTCGAACCCTGGTTGATCCCATCCTGCAACCACTTCCACTCCTACGTCCTTGCTCACACGCACATGTACAGCAGTCTGCTCTCATATTTAGTGATGTCTGCTTGTGCTCTCAAACCAACCTACATGCACTCACACTCTGACTGTCCGCCAATATGTGTTGCACCACCTGCATGCTATGACTTGCGCCATCCTCATAGTGTCGCCCATCCAAGTGTGATGTGTCGATTGCATGCTATGACCTACTATTCACTTTTATAGCCTACTATCCAACTCCGCATTTCTATCCTACCCACACACCTGCAAATTGCAAACACCACTATGAGTATGCTCTTGAAGGTTTGCACACTAGTGTCAATGATTTGTAGTACTTGATCTAATCTCTAATTTTTTTCTTCGTGTGAGAACCAAAAATTTTCAGGTATTTATCTATATATAAACTAATTTATTTTAGTGTTGAGATAAATAGATTTATGTTATGAGTAAGTTAAATAAATGAAAAGAAAAATGATATGCATGCAAATTTATAGGTGTTCACCCCGTATGGTACTGGCTGGGGAAGCAATGTACCAACGCACGTTCCTTTGGATACTATTTTTGAATAAAGTGCTTGCAAGAGGTGTACTCACCATATTGCTTTCATTATTTTGAATTTATCATATATATATATATATATATATATGTACTTGTGTTACTTTTTTATGATTGATAATGATTACCCACTTAGTTTACATTGTAAACTCAACCCACTAAATTAATGTTTCAGGTAGGTCTCCAAAGAAATAGAAATGATAGAAAGAGAATAGTACGTCTATGAAAACAACGCAACAATGAAAACAGGTAAATTATGACTGATGTAAATGTTTAATTTTGACATAGATTGAATAGAATATTTTTTTAAAATAATGGCTCTTCAGTTGATTTGAGAAGTTGTATGTTAATTTGTTTATGATATAAATTAAATTGTTACTACTGTCCGACTTTTGTTTCGACTTTGAGCATTCAGGCTGGGTCGTGACAAGTCTAGTGCAAGAGATTGGAGGATCATAGTCAAGTGACAGTAGTTCGAGAACTAGTCGGGCAATGGTCGTCAAATGACCAAATTTGAGCGAAGATATTCGGAGAATTGCAAACAGGTGATGATGGTCACAGGAGCATAGTCAAGTCACGATGTTACAAGAACTATATCACGACGAAATGGATCAAAGTACCATAGTTAGGCAACGATGGTCGGAGGACTAGAATTGATGACAGTGTTAGGAAACCCGTAGTCAGCGAGAATGGTCAGAGGATTTGAAGTTAAGAAATGATGGACAATGGTGGGAGGACTGTAGTAAGGCGACGGAGGTCATAAGGATCTTACTCAAGCAATAGTGGTCAAAGACCTATAATCAAGCAACGATTTTCAAAGGACCATAATCAGGTGACAGGGGTCAAAAGAACCATAGTTGGGTAACGAGTGGTCAGAGACCTAAAGTAGGGTAACAGTGGATGATTGTCAAAAGATTGTAGTCGAATGACAATGGTTGAAAAGATCGTAGTCAGGAGATAATGGTTAGTGACCCGTAGTCAAGCGATGATAGTCAAATGACTGTAGTGGAGCGAAGAGATTCGGAAGGATTGTAGTTAGGCGATGAGTGTTGGAAAGACAATAATCAAAAGACGGTGATCAAATGGACTATAGTTGGGCGATGGTGAATGGTAGGCGGTGGACGGTGGTTGAAAGTCCCTAGTTAGGATAGCGATCAGAAGAATCATAGTTAGACGATAGTGGTCAAAGACTCATAGTCTAGCAACGATGGTCGAAGGACCGTAGTAAGGTGACCATAATCAGGCACTATAGTCGGGCAACGATGGTTGGAGGATCGTAGTTATGTGACGATGGTTGGAGAATTGTAGCTAAGCATGGGGGTCAGAGGATCATAGTTGGGCAATGAAGGTCAGAGGAACGTAGTCATAAGAGATTGGTCAGAGATCTGTAGTGGGATTATAGGGGTCGGAGGATCGTAGTTGGACGACGGAAGTTGGAAGACCAAAGTCTAATGACGGTGGTCGAAAAAACCATAGTCGGGAGATAATGATAGCTTTGGTCAAGCGGCGTTCAGACAAAAGTGGTCGAGCGGTGTTATGACAGCAACAATTTGGTGGTAGTCCGATGATGATGATCAAACATTTTTTCGATGACGGCAATTGGGTTATGGTTTGATGAGAAGTTTGGATGGTGACTCGATGATGGTGCTCAAGTGGAGCTGCCATAAATCTCATACCAAAGTTCAAGCTCTAACTTCCCCCTACATGTAGAAACTAGGAGCCTATTTATAAATTTTTTAGAGTGGCATACCATGTAAATATAGTTAAAATTCATAACACTTTATTGGATGACCCGTATTCATTCCCTTGATCATAGAAATTTCATTTAGCATTTAGGTGTCTTAATGATGTCGGAATTAAGCGATCATGAGCTCATTGGATTCGTCTCATCAAGATGCTTGATTTGATTATAAGCATATTAAATTTGGATATCATTTGATCATCCAATCGATGTTCTAAATTTTTCAATTATGCTTTAACTGCTTGATCTAAGCTCAGTTGGACTCAAATTGAACCATTTTTGGTATCGTTACATTCATCTCTTCGAAAGGTTAAGTTCGACAATAAGTTATCTGAAATTGGGTTTTGATGGTCCGAAATTTAATTTTGGAAGTTTATAATTCAAATATGAATCGATGTGTGCTTGATCAAAAATTTTTGAAGACATTAATAATAATAATATGTTGACCTGATGTACAAAAAATCAATCAATCAAATCCCTTACCTACTCTGCTCCACGCCGCTCTTCGCACGTCCGCACGTCGTTCGCACGTCGAAGCCACGCACGACGTCGCATCGCCCACGACCTCTCCACGTCGTTAAAAGGAGGCGAGAACGAGGCCTTCGACCTCCCCCCCTGCGAACCCGATCTCCCATGGAGCCCCAAGCTCTTCTTCCTCCACTTCTCCGTTCCACACAGAAAACGCGAGAGAGAGAGAGAGAGAGAGAGAGAGAGAGAGAGAAGATGAGGGAGAGAACCTTCAACTACCTGGCCGGCGTCTCCTCTGCCCGACCGACTCCGCACCTTCTGCGACTTTCCCTTCCTCTCCAGTCGGAAGTTCCGACGTCGGATTATAAGATTACCTCTTTCAAACGATTACAAGATTACCTCTTGCATATGTCTAGATTATAATCTAAATCATACAATAAATTACAAACTCTTGCAAATGTCTAGTGAAAACAAATAATCACAGAAAAACATTAAAGATTACCTTCAAATCCCGATTTTTCTTCGATTCACACGAAAACTAGGGCAGCCGATGTGAGATCGACGGCGGCAAGACAGCAGAGCTTGATCGAGCGAGAGGCGGCCGGTGTGGGGTCGGCGGTCGGAGAGAGTTTGTCGCCGTTTGGAGAGAGGTCGTGATGTAGAACGTACAAGCATGGGTGATTAAACTAAGAAAGTTTGCACGCTTACATTTTAGAACACAATAATTATAAGCTTTGTCTTGATGATAGACGACAAAATAGAAATGATAAGGTGGTAAACTAGCTTAGGTCTAAGCACATGCGAGAGATTGAGATCATTAATTAATCAACTAAATCTTACGTTGCATACATGAGTGGTTTCAACAAGAATTCCAATACTAACAATAAGATTAGTCTATGAAAGGTCCCTCACACAACTCTTCTAAATACTAGGCTTTAGCGGAGATGTATTAACATTATCGTCATGAATTTAATAATAACCACAAGCAAGGATGTAACTATGAAGATAGAGAATCTGATGTTGAGTTTACCCAAAGACAAGAGGGATACGCCCTCCGGTAAGGTCGTTTGAATGGTGGAGAATGAGTGGACAGCAACCACAAGCCTTCCTTATGCTGTTGGACAGTAATCTGGAGCTTCTGGACAGCAACTAGCAACGTTCTAGGATGCAGGACAGCCAGTGGGCAGCTCTAGTTTTGCAGGACTGCACTTATAATCTTGCTGGAATACCGAGACAGCCAGCTAAACTTCAGGGCAGCAAGTATCTTTGGGCTGGTTTCCCCTTAAACAGCAAAATGCAGCTTTTGGACAGCACACAAGGGCCTTCGGGTGGCCTGACAGTAGCCAAAAACAGTCCAGAATTTCTGGACAGCACTCTCGGGTCTTCAAGGATGCAGGATGGTAATTCAAAAGGGCTGGAATATGTGGCCAGCCACTTGAAGTTTCCAGGAAATTAAGAAAAACGTGGGAAGACCTTTGAGAGGAGGTGGTGGGGATTGAGTTAGCCAGAGGGGTTTTGATTCCGAAATTGAAATGTGCATTTTAATTTCAGATTATCATTAATGGAGATTGTTAATTTGAAATTCGAATTAACTCAATTAAGGGAGTAATGGGGCCGGCGGTTACTAGAGGGATTTAGGGGGGGAATTAAGTGTTGCTTAGGTGGCAAAGTGGAGAGAGAAACAATGAGGGTGA